TTTTTGTTCTTTAACATTCTCTGGGCTTTGAGGAATGCGTCACAGTCACCAGCAAGGACGGACCACATGAGGCGACTTTTCTCATGAGAGCGGTTCAGGTGTGTCACTCATAACAGCTTTTTCGTTCCCACACAGCTCTGCTCTTGCCAAAAGTGGTATCAGTCTCACACCCACAGGAGAATCCGCCAAACCGACTTGCTTTTATTTTTTTGTCAATGCTACGTCCACAGAAAAGCAAGGACTACAGGCTGCCCAGGGAGTCCCGTTCAGCCACTCTCCCCGCGGCTTTTACCTGGAGTCACCCACCGGAGGCTGCCTGCCTGGTGGCCCTTCCCTTCTCAGACCTTTACTCCCTAGGAGCTGAAGGGATTCCTGGAACGTGGAGTTTATAATAACCAATAAAGGATTCATATGGGGAAAAGAAAACTACTTTGTGAAATAAACCGTTTACAATGTAGTCATTCATTCCATAAATATTTATGGTGAGCTGTGCACATGCCAAGAAATGTGTAACTAAACATCACGCCATCAGTCCCTTTGCCCAGACACAAAATGAAAAGGGCGTGACGTGTGCGTAAAACTGCGCCCTGCTCCATGGGACTGCCTCTCACCATGGCATCTGTGAGCTCACCTAGAAGTAGACAGACAAGGCATCCTGACTGGGGTCCCCATGCAGACCTTCTTCATCGTTACGATTCTCTGCCTGCGATCTCTGCTGTCTGTGAGAGACCGGCCGTGTCGTGGCGTGCAGCCCTGCAGGGTGATGCTGGGCATTCTCAGTCTCTGCAACTGCAGATTTCATTCATTCGGCCTCTGGGCCTGTACTGATCCAATTCTTCTCTTGTGTCATTTCGGTAAGTCTTCTGATCCCTAATTGCTATTGCAGAAACCTAAGCAATGTTTGCAGGCATTAAAAGCTATAGTTTTTTGTGTCTTGAAATGTTTGCAAATACAAACATTCAGGTTCAGGTCTGTCATGGGTACAGATTTATAAACCTCCTCAAATTATGGTGAAATTAAAAGTAGCTCCCAATATGAAAGCTCAAGGTCACTTACTCCAGGCCTTCCCTTTGACCCAGAAGAAAGGGCCTCCATTCACCCCATCCTACCACCATGGTCCCCCAGCTGCTTGACCCTTGATGGTTTTGCGCTTGTGTGTTAAGGCCAACACCTTTCCAGGCAAACTTTTACTCATGAATTAAAGCAAAGGTTTCTTCACTGGCTAAACTTCAAGAATTTTCAAATATTTTTTCCATAGTATTTATTCACATCACCGCTAAAGTACCTATCAGCTCTCACGGCAACTTAATTTTGTGTGTCTTCTCCAGGGCTCAGTGACGCTCAGGGGAGACGACTTTGTGTTTGCATTTCTACTGCTCGGTTCGGTGACAGTTACGTTCTGGGTACCAGTAATAAGTGCATATAAACAAAATAAATGAGTTGATAAAAACATTACTTTCTGAAAAGTAAAGAAACAAATAAAGCCTGTCTTCTTGGGCTTCCTTGCTTGACTTTTCATGCTTTTTACACATGTGGTCCATTAGCAAATAAAACGGAAGGGCAAAAGCTTTTTTTAAGTATAAAATCATGTTGTGATGACAGTTAAGAGGAAATTGTAATTTGACTTCAAATAACATTGTAAAGCCCAGGATATAGTTACAGTTCAATGAAATGTCTTCATATTTTCCACTTGGCATTCAAGGAAATGTGAAGACTAGATACCTGAGTGCCCCACTTTCCAGAACTCCTTCTGACACAACACCGTGGGTCCACACTGAACGGTACAATTCCACCACTGGGCTAACGCCCACTCTGCTGCTCTCCCACGGACACCCACTGTGGGCCGATTAAATCAATACAGCCCTTCTAAGAACATGCATTTTCCACCACATTCCTCACACCTGAAACATGTTGGGAGACACCTGACTTGGCATTTGCAACCTACCTAAATATGGTGATTTAGGAGTCTGAAACAAAGAGCCAATATCACATTGTTTGCAGCTTGGGATAAATATTTTCTGCAAATGTGAAATCTTGCTCCATGTGGGAGGAGCGTATTTCAGAATAATGTCGGCTTTACTCACTTTGTTTCCAACTGTGGGCATGAAGAAAGGAACAGATTTATTCCTTCTGTCGCAGTTACCCTGACACAAGTTGTAAGACTCCAGGAAGAACGTAGCACTTGGAGGAGTGTATTTTAGACTAGGAATATCATACTTCGTGTTTAAAGATGTTATAATAATTGGAGGTTTGGAAGGTCATGAACAGATAGTGTTCTTCATGTCATGGACACTGACTGAGATCTATTTCCACTCTTAATTCAGTCAACAAATACCCAAAAATGCAGGAGGAATTTCAGTCACCTTGGGTATCTTTATGGAAATCTTTGGACAGATGCTCTTGATATAACTTCAAGTATCTTTTTACTGCCTCTAGATATTTGAAGGAAATGTTCAGGCACCTTTAGATTTTAAAAGTTTTGTCAGTCATCCATGGCCATTTTTCTTAATTGTCTCTTCACCCTTTGTATTGAAATAGTTCTCCATCCTATGTGCACAGCTTGCCAGTGACAAAAACAGCCTAGTCTTGGGAAGAGGCATCATCTCCCAGTTGGCAGGTTTCTGTTATTGATGATTGAAGCTGTAAAAATAAAGCTCTAAGGCATGTGTACCAAAAAATAAGTGGAAGGTAAAGCCAGGATGAAGCACAACCCTGAGGCAGTGTGACACTGATACCGGAAGGTGGCACAGAGGTTAAGAGCCAGGACTCTTTTCTTCTGGTTTCCAAGCTCTACTGTGCTTTTCTGTGTGCATCAATTTTCTCACATGTAAAATAGAAGCAATAATAATAACCATCTGTGTAGTTGTTGGAAAAATTAAATAAGTAAATTACTGCAAGGTAATAAAAAATGTATCCCCAAAAATAATGCCCTCAATTAATGTTTATTATTAGTTTAAAGAGCTAGGTAAGAATTGGAAAAGAAATGTAATGTACTGTTTGATATTTTATAAATGCATATAACTGAACAAAAAAGATAAAAATGCGTGGAAGTATATACATGAGAATGCATTATCACAACTGTAATAATATACTTCAGGTACTTGACCATTTATTCACTTAAGAAGTATTGCTGAGCACTTACTATGGACCTGGACTTGTAGAGCATTAAAAGACATGGTCCCTGTCTTCCACCAAATAGCTTATGAGAGAGAAGATGGACACCAAGAACAATGCTCTGGGTAGATGCCATGGCAGAGGTGAAAGAGGGAGGAATTCTAGGAAACTGGCTTGCATTCCAGACTGTGGAATATAAGGGAAAAAATGGCAAACCCTTCAGGTGAGTGAAGTAGTCTGGCTTTTAACCTTCATAGTGGGGAGCATTTGAAGGATGTGTTTCATCTCCCTGTCTTTGTTGGGGAAATGAAGAAGGATGCATAGGCGATGACAGGGAAACCACTTAGTTTGCCATTTCATAATCCATTACCTGGGATCTGAGCTAAGTTCATGGAGGTGGGGTGATGGGCAGGCAGAAGGTTTGAGAGACAACAAGATGATAGATTAGTAGAGAAGTTTTGTCAACAATTGGGTTGAAAAGTTAAGGGAGAGGGGCACATAACTCATCCCTGAGTTACCTGACCCACTTAACTGGGTGGATGGATATGCTGTTTGTCAATATGCAGAACATTAGGAAGGATTAGGTAGATTCAGGTAACAAGGTGCTTTCTCCAGATTTTCATCTATTTAGACAGAGATTCATATACAAATTCCCGCAAAGGAACTTTAGCTTACAATAGAACATATTTGTCTGTTACACATAAGAAAGGTCTGGATTAGATAAAGTAGATTTGGGAGTTATCTCATAAAAATGGTAGTTGCAGCCATGACAGCCTTACTCCAAAGGAACAGATGGCATGGGACAAAAGAAAGGTGGAAAATGGAATTCTGAGGAGGACCAAAATTTTAGGTATAGAAGAGGGAACCTGCCAAGAAGTGTCAAGAACAGCTACAGGAATATCAGGACAGAGCATGTCACTGATGCCAAAGGAAAAGTTGGTTCTGAGAAGAGGAGCTATTCTGCAGGAAGTAACTGAGCAGAGAAGGCGAATGGGTTGAAGGATTAAACATGTCCTTTGACATCAGCACTGAGAAAGCCATTGGCAGTTTGGGCAGGTCCACGTGGAGTGGCAGAGGTGTGTTCTCGGAGGTGCGGTGGGGGCTGGGCACACAGGTTGCTTGGCAGAGTAACAGCAAAGGGGAGATGTGTGGCCAGGTGAGGTTGTTTCTATTTTCCTTCTGGTTCTTAGATTTCGAGTATTTGAACTTGTTTGCTTGCTAAAAGGAATGGGCTAGAAGAGTAGACATTTTTTGGAACAAAATGCAGGAGGAGCCAGACAATGAAGGTACAGATATAGGAATGGAGAAGATGATGGTTTTGGACCCAGTTTGCTGGAGAGGGTGGCAGCTTGAGGTGTTCTTGAATAATGAATAATTGAATAATGAGTAAAGAAGAGGATGCTTATCCTTGGAGCAGGATGATGAAGCAATGAAGCAGAGGCTTTGAAAGGGGGGTTGGCTGGGATAGTCCATGTAAAGAAGAGGACAGGGAGCCAATGAGGAAAGGGTCTCCAGTTAGCATTCCAGCCCAGATGGGGTGCCTTTGTAATGGTGGCATCAATCTTCATCCTAGATGAGAGCTCAGACCTCACTTGTAGGCTTGGGGGTCTAATCAAAGGTACAATAAAGAACCCTATTTGCAGGCTATGTGAGCTCTGATGTGCTTGACAAGTCTATGTAAGTGGAATGCTTTGAGGGGCAGATCCATAACAGGTAGCAGAGTGCACCCTCTGGGGTGAGTAGCTAAGGACTTGGGTATTGCTCTGTGGAGGGAGCACGTGGCCCCAGAGTGCAGACCCCTGAGTGGTCTCAGAGGAGGCAGGATGGTGCACCCCACTGTACACACGCCAGATGTATGCTGTGCTTTCTGTCAGTAAATTGTATATCAGATTTACATTTGTGTTAAGTCTTCTTAAACATAAAATTTATTGCATTCACAGTTTTTACTTTTCAACAAAATGCAGAATCCTCATGGGACACAGGTGGAAAGCGCTCAGGAGCAGAAGAGCCCCAGGTCAGAACCCCAGTTCCACCATTTAGGAATGTGGATCACAGAATGAGCCCTGGAGTCCCTGGCATCTCATATTTCTTCCTGGTATAATAAGGTGTGACTAGCCACCGTTATGATATCCCATTCTAAAATCCTGTGTGAGACGGGAATTTTCTCTTGTCCTGGTCAATTTGAAGTATAGCCTTCAAAGTCAAACAGCCAAGAACACCTGAAATCAGGGTGGGTAGCAGTCTGTGTCCACGAATTCTAGAAGCCTGATCCTGACCCCAGAGACTTGCAGGCTAGCAGCGGGGTCATTCCCGCCAGCGTGTTCCATGAAAGCTTTGTGTGGTGCCCGGGGACTCACCTGCTCACACAGCAGAATCTGATGGGAAGTGTTAACACTGCAGCATCAGATGGAGGAAAATTGTTCATAAATTCCACCAATGTGCATGGCTTTATTTGGGGTCCTGGTTGCAAACTCATTATTCATGCTGTGTACAGTAGGCCATCAACATATCCCACCGGGAAATTAGTTTGCAATTTAGAACCGTTTCAAAGTACAAGTGATTCTCAAGTCATTTTCCAAGGTTAAATGAGAACTCTTACCGCCTTCCTTGGGCTCAGAGGGGACTGTTGCTGCACGAGTTCCCTCCTCCCCCAGCTTCTGTTATACTGGTTTGATTTTTCCTTTTTAAATGCCATCTGTGCTGAATGTCTTTTTTCTTCATTTTTTGAAAGGCAGTAAATAAATGGAAGGCCACTGGCTGCATTTCCCTGCTTGCTGGGACTGCTTAAGCACCTCAGTTTTGATTACTGCTGTGACCCGTCCAAGGCTCCTGGGAGGGTTCCACGTGCTCTGCACAGGGACTGCTTAGCTGGATGGCAGCCACGTTAGGGTGCAGCGAGTCAGCCATCATTCCCCTCCCACTGCTGCTTCTCCCTCCAGGGGCCAGGCAGTGGGCAGGGTTTCAGGCAGCCTGACGGACAGCAGGGGTCAGACCGGTGACTCCAGGCAGGGCAATGTGCCCAGCTTCAGCCTGCCTGTGGGCCATAAGCACAGAGCAAAGTATTAAGATAAAAAGGGCTTCACTGACTGTCTCCATTTCACACACCCCTTTGGTGATGTGATTCTTTCCTTTAGAACTTCCTTAGGCAGCTTTTAAAACTCTATTTCACCATTAAATGTGGGCATGTCTCCCAGAATCTTACCCGGACCTGGGAGAACAGGCCTCCGACCACCTAGTAGATCATTTATAAGCTGATATTACCCTTTGGGAGTGAAAGCATTATTTTAAGTGCATCATTTTACCCTTCATCATTCCCGTAAAGCAGAAAATAACCCATAGTCTAAAATCCTCAGAGGAATTTTCTTTTCCTCTTTTCTCAGCCAGTGTCTAAAATGCCAAGGCCTGATGTTATTAGTATAATAAACCAAGGTCAACTAGAATATAAGTCAAAGTTGTTAAGCTACATCGAGTGACTCTCCTCTCCCCCACCAATAAGCAGCATTAGGGTTTATCTGCACCCGAGATTTCAACATCTCTCCCGTGCATTCAGGGAGTGCTTCCGTAGGCAGAAAGTACATATACCAGGGAGATTAAGGGTTTAGTTTCAAAATACATGAAATCACTAGCTTAAACATAGAAACTATACACAAAGCACAAAGAAACGATGAAAACAAGAGACCAGCAGAGTCAACATCACCTAGAAAAGCTAACAGTCTTAAAGGTCAGAAATCCTCCCTTAAACAAAAAGACCCATCCATTAAGAATGATCAATCACAAGATAACGTGGGAGTACCACATCATGAGTTACCTTTAAAGCAGAGGTCACTCAGCTAAAAGCTGGCCGCTCCCTGCCCTGCAGGTAGCAAACAGAAACGGAAGCCCTGAGGAGAAGAAACCTAAAAACAAGGCCTGTGGAGAGGCCTCCTGGGGGACTCCAGCCGCAAGGAGAGGGTCTGGTGCAGTCTGCCCGGCCGTGCCCTGAGCTCTGTGTGCTGCCCAGAAGGGAGGCACAACGGCTCTCTGGATTCAGCATTCTGAGTTAGTCTTTTCAGTTGAAATTGGCTTTAAATGTTTTCCTTGATTACAGATAATTTGTGTCTTTTTCTACCACTGTTTGAATGTGAAAATGCTTCAGAAATAATCCCTTTTCCTTCATGCACTGGGGGAAGCAGAGATATTGGTTTGGTCTGCTTGTGATTTTGGCGTTTTTAGTTCTCTTTTTGATGCTATATACACTTCATAATCTTTTAGCTCCTACATTTAAATCATCTCAACCTCTGCTTGGTGAAGTAGTTGGTATGACACCAGGCCTTACAGAAGCTTGGAGTCTGAATCTTTAAGGATGCTCATGCGATGGTATTTATAAGGACGTTTCCTATGTCTCCAACAAGTCTTCCTAGATTTCCATACTGTGATTTTTACTTTTAGGGAGCATACTAAGTATTTGTCATTAAAGCACCGAATCTTCTCATAGGTATGGAGATGGACTGAGCCCCTTTAACACCTCCCAGTTCTCAAGCACATTATTGTATTATTAAGGCAACTTTAGAGATTCCTGCATTTTTCATATATTTCATGAGATAATAAGTTTATTATTAAGTTTCCTACAATGCAGTAGAAAAAGCAGTAGGAATGCTCTGTGACTTTCCCATTTTCATGTGCGTCCTTGGAACAGGAGAAGAATCCAGCTCTAGCTTCTTGGAGTCACACCCACTTTGTCTCTGTGACACGACCTTCCGTGGGAGGCCAGCCACGATTCACAACAACGAGGGGATACATGCTTCTTCTTTTCCTCTCCCCAGAGGGCTGCACTTTGCTCCAAAGCCTCATTCTCAACACATGCCAAGGTACTTTCTCTACATGAACTAGGGTCTCAATGATCATATAGCACAATTCTTGACAATAATTCCATGGAGGTGAAATCCCTGGTAGGCCAGTGTCGTCTAGATTGCTGAAACCAGGGACTTTTTTGCAGAACAAACATATCGATGAAACCAGTAAAAACCCAGTGGCTTCAAGTAGCAGAAAGGCCCCAGTTAGACTGCAGGGTGCCAGACTGAAGATGCTGTGAAAGTCGGAGCCTGCTTCTTTACGCGAGTGCCTGCCTACATCTAGGCACTCATTAGCATTATTACACACACCTCCAGCCACTCAGACATTTTGATATGATGAATGTGTAATTCCCAGGGATTATCCATTTTCACATCAGATGTAATAAAACATTTTGGAGGTTTACATAATTGTCCTGAGATGTTTCAGCCATGGGAAAGGAAGAGGACAGGCCACACCCCCTCTACCTAAAACACCAATTTCTGTGTGCTGTGCCTTCTCACTCCCCAGGCCTCAGGAGCACAGCTATTTGTACACGTAGTGCCTGATTATAAGGTTCTCAATAACCAATAAGAACCAATGAGTTATTAAAGTTCTTAATAACTTTTTTAAAAGACAACATAATCAGCCTCAAAACCTGCTGTTCTAGACACAAGAGCACGTGGCCTTCGCCTGGGACAGTAACTGCAACATCTGCAGCGGTGAGCTGCTGAAGCCAGGGGTCAGCGGAGCACAGAGCGGCCTCTCCTGGCGTCCACTGGCTCGTCGGCGCCTGGAGCCCGGCCTCAGGCCTCTGAGCGGAGCCCCAGGGCCGACCGTACTCCCTGGGAGCTCGCTGCTGTGCCCACAGAGACGAGCACCTGTGCACAACGGTGAAAGTCTTTCTTCTGAGGATCCTGGGCAGGGCCGCAAACACGCAGTCGCACTGACGGGTTTAGCTTTCTCCTTTTTAAGTTTCTTAAAAGACAGAGCAACCTGCCCCTGTGGATTTTTAAAGATAGCCTGTTTGTACCCCCTTGAAAAACAAAACAGAGTCCCGGGGGCTCACGTCCAGGTTTGGCTTTAGAAGTCGCTCATTTTGGACTCACTTCTCCCTATCAGCGAAGTATAAGAATCATGCACACGAGGCTGAGGCCTGCTCTGCTTGGAAAACATCTGCGTTCAATTAGCAACCAGCCTGGGTGCTGCGCTAATGCTGCAGGACCAAACAAAGTCCGTTTTGTTTCAACTCTTCCAGCGTCGTGAGGAGGAGAGGTTTGCAGGAGTAAAAAAAATACAAAGGCGATAGAAGAAAACTGCCCTGTGGTCCTGGAAGGGGGCTGAGAAGGCACAAAAGAAGTTACTTTTCCTGGAGCGTACAGACCCAGCCATTTTTTTTCAGGAGAATCCTCCTCTACCGTTTCTCTCTTGAGGGGCCCCGGGGTGGGGAGTAAGTAATCTTTTCTTCTAAAAATGCAACTTTCGAAGCAGTGGAACATTCTCCAGATTCCCCCCAAATGAATATGACCTAATAGTTGATGTGTTTGGCAAATCAGAAGTAGTGTTTTATTTTTAATTCTGTGGAAAGCGAAACAAATCAAAATGATATTTATAGCCCATTGCATTGCATTTCAATCACTCTCACTGTTGCTAAATGTGATTGATATTCTGACCTCAGATACGCTGAAATCAGCTGTTTCTACTGAAGTGCACACCTTGCCGTGAACACCAGTGAGGTCCACCTCTGTTAACATCGGTAGCACTAGCCCTTCTGGAATGGAGCTTATCCCTGTCCGAGGCGTCTGCGGCGGACCAAAGGCACTTCCACGCAGTAATGTCAGAACTACGTGTCACTGAGGCTGAGGCCCCGAGAAGAAGGGACTGCAGCCACTCCTTTGGGCTGGAGTAGCATTTCCTCTTCATGCCTCCTCTTGAGATGAGGTCCTACTGCATGTATCTTAGGTAAGGAATGCAGATGAAAACTCTCTTTTTGTTTGAGTTTTGAGGGATAAGATTCAGCCCCTAATCGGCAGGTAAAAATGTTTAAGTCTTTGATGTTTAGCCCTTATCAAAACATGGGCTATGGGCAATTCTTTATGGATGCAGCTTGATGGGCAGGCTAGACCTTTACTCTTTCATATATATTGACTCTATCTTCAGATCAAACCAAAGAACTGGGCCTTGAACCAAACGTTTGGCACCATTTTTATTGGTTTTCACTAAATTGTCCGGTAACTTTATATCAGTTTTGTCTATTGAAAACACTGTAAGAAGCCATCCAATAAAATGTACCATCATGCTTACTACAGGAACATTTGTACCATATTTTACAATACCTGATCATGAGAAGCCAGGGGAGAGATTTCAGTGTAAACATCTGAAATGTGCATTGGGAAGATGGTGCATGCTTCCATGATATTTTACTCAAGAACTTTATGCTGGGGTGTGTCTATCACCCTCTGTGTCATCTCTGTTTTGCTATGTTATCACCCTATTTATAAGTATGAAGAGAGCTTAAAACTGACGCAAAAGAAAAAGTGCTAAAATATTTCCATTTGCCATCAGATACAAAATGACAGGCCCATCTCTTCACTACTGGTTCACTCTGATTTTTCTTTGGTTTTGGGGAGAATGAAGATGGGAATATGATGAACAACAACAAAAAGAAGTTGCAAAGATTGAAGTTCATGTTTTTGTGTCTATTTGATTATTTAGACACCCTTTAGGTTTTAGAATGGAGAGAGATAGTCATCTTATTTTTTTTAAAAGTAAATATGGGCAGAGATTGAGCTAAGACTCAGCCCCACAGTGCAAACTCCCTCACCTACACTAGGCACATGGCACCGGCGGCTCGAGGGCTCGAGGCCAGGCGGCCAACATGAACTCGGGTGATGGAAATGCCGGGGGCCAAAGAGTTCCCCTGTTTTTTTTGTGACATCACAGAGGATTGTTCTGCTTTTCACTCACAATTCCATCTGTCCTTCCTCTGTGCTCAATATTTCATTAAACATTAAAATGAAAAGTTAAAGCAGAGTATCGTTTAGTTCTTTCCCAAACCCAGTAGTATGGTCATATACCATCCTAATTCTATTTCTATATTGTATCAAAAAGGTTTTTCTGGTAAAGAAATAATTGGTGCACAAAAGAAGAGCCATTTGTGCATCATAACATGGGGAGCGATTTTAACAGATAATCATTTAAATTCCAATTTTCCTGAACACTGAG